CCGCGCGGGCGGCTGCAGCCTCTGCAGGTCCAATCCAAACTCCAGCTCCTCCTGCCGGCGGTGGAAGCTGAGCGGCAAGTGGCGATCCTAGGGAAGCAGCAACGGGGGGTGTTATACATCAGCCCAGGCCCCCCCATCAGGCCCGCTGCGGGGGGAGACCCGGAGCCGCATCTCTTCTCATTCAGATGCCGTGGCGTCATGCACTTCCCTAGGATGGCAGCCCCCCAGCGGGAGGATACAGAACCGCCGGGGAGGGGCTCATTTACCCAGAGCGGCAAGTGGCGATCCTAGGGAAGCAGCAACGGGGGGTGTTATACATCAGCCCAGGCCCCCCCATCAGGCCCGCTGCGGGGGGAGACCCGGAGCCGCATCTCTTCTCATTCAGATGCCGTGGCGTCATGCACTTCCCTAGGATGGCAGCCCCCCAGCGGGAGGATACAGAACCGCCGGGGAGGGGCTCATTTACCCAGAGGGGGGCAAACCGCCCACACACCGCATGGCCCGAGCCGTGGCAGCGAGACCCACGTAGCACCAGCCGCGAGATCTCTGGGCCAATGTGATCCAAACAGCATCTCTGTAGCTGGGCCCCCACAATCCCCTGGGAAATCCCACGGCACAGAGCCCTACTCCTGCCATCTGACAGCAGACCAGTGGGGCTGACTGCCATACGCACCCCCTGTCTAGGGCCCTAATCCTCCCTGGCCAAACACAGGTCAGCAGATGCTGCTAGCTGCAGCGAGGTGGGGGAAGGCTGTAGGTTGGGACGAAGGACAAAGTGCAATTGCTGGGTAGGAGGGGCTGGAGGCGTGCACGTGGGCGTTTGCACGTGCGCGTGTGTGCACGTGCAGCTCCAGGGAACGCCCCTTCAGGTGAGTCACTGACCTGTTTGAGCAAAGCCGCCCTCTCGCCCTCCAGAATTCCTTTCACGATTCCCACCAACCGCAGCGGGTCCCTCCGAAACGTGTTCTGTAACGGGCACGGAGGGGACGCCGTTAGCATGAATAGCAGGAGAATATCCATGCTCCCCCAGTCTCCAGCCTCCTGTGGCCTCCTCCACACACGTGCAAACTGGTGCAAATCAGCATGTGCTGCCCTGCTTATAGGCGTGAGTGGAGAATTCCGTGGCTGCAGGTTATACCCGCAGCCACGAGCCCACGGATCTTCGCCTCCCCAGTAGCTCACCCTAACAAGGAGGGTAGGAGGGCCACTAGACTAGAACACAGCAAAGACTCAAGGTTTGACCTCTGTCGGTTCAAAGGCAGCTCTCAGATTAAGTGGGGTTGGTTAGGTGTCGGATGAGAAATAGTTTTCCTGTCCCACAAAAGTGTGAGATTTTAGAATTCTCTCCCCCCCCGCCCCCCACTCAAAAATGGGATGCAAATTCAAACTCTTGGCACATTTTTGCCACCCAATAATCCAGAAAAAGAAAATGGCTTGGCTCAATTGAAAGTGTAGCCAAGAAGGCTAATGGCATATATAATGTATGCTATCATGCATATCTTTTCCTCTACCTTTTGAACACTTTCCCGTGTTGTTTCTGGTAAGTCTCTGGAAATTTTGCTTGAACAGGGACAACACTCATTGGCATAATTCGGAGTAATACAGTAGGGGGCAGCAACAGCCCCATGTATGCAACTTCTATCAATATCATGTATGAACTCATGAAAGTCAAATACAGTAACGAGTATACTGTACCTCCTTCCTAATCAGTTTTAATGTTTGACTGGTGTCAGTAGACGAACTAGAGACTTTCACTTAATAAAAATAGATATCTTGCCAAATGAGTCAGAGAGAGAGAGTCTCTGATTGAGACATTGGCTTAAACACAGATGACAGTGTATTTTACTAACCTGGTTAATCCACAAATAAAGTTCTTTAGATCTCAAAGTGAGAGTGGCATTAAAATACTCTTCCCTAGCAAACAGCTCTCAAATGGAGCGATAGACCATTTTAGAAACAATTTGTGAAACATTGGGCTACATTCCTGGCTACTGCTAAGGTCCTTTTGCACTGCTAGAAAACTATTGTTCCAAAGGGGGTGATGCCCTTAAATAGTTTCTAGGGGAAGGGCTAATAAAAAAGTTCCTAACACGGCTACATTTCTATCACAATGGCATAGTAGGTTGCATTAAGAGGGGCATTGCCAGTCGATCCAGAGATGTGATTATTCCTCTTAACTCGGCTCTGGCGAGGCCACATCTGGAGTATTGGGTCCAGTGCTGGGCCCCCCACTCTAGAAAGGATGTGGACACATTGAAGAGGGTCCAAAATGATTCGGGGGCTGGAGCCTTTCGTAGGGGAGGCTGAGGGGTTTGGGCTTCTTTGGTCTGCAGAAGAGAAGCGTGAGGGGGGATTTGAGAGCAGCCTTCAGCTATGTGAAAGGGGGGTTCCGGAGAGGGGCTGGCTGTTCTCAGTAGTGACAGATGACAGAACAAGGAGCAATGGTCTCAAGTTGTGGTGGGAGAGGTCCAGGCTGGATATTAGGAAAAACTGTTTCCCTAGGAGGGTGGTGAAGCACTGGGATGGGTTCCCTAGGGAAGCAGTGGAGTCTCCATCCCTAGAGGTGTTTAAGTCTCGGCTTGACAAAGCCCTGGCAGGGTTGGTTTAATTGGGATTGGTCCTGCCTATGGCAGGGGGCTGGATTTGATGGCCTTCTGAGGTCTCTTTCAGCTCTATGATTCTATGAAAGGTTTAGTTTCAACCGTTTGAAAATGTTTTCTTTCGATTTTCACTTTTTACATCGATACCTTTCTCGGGTTGTACAAAATAGCGAAAAGTCACAACTCCCCCCTAAAAAACTTTGTTATGAAGTGCGAGGGAAAAAAAAATCCAAAACCTTGTCTTTTTGGCAAGTTTTCAAAGTGGAAGATTG